TCAAATGAGCTACATAAGGGGGGGAAAACTAAATACTAGATGGTGCTTTGCATAAACAAGTGCTAAAAGGGGAAAGGATGGACTATGATGACGATGATGAACTAATCAAGTTACATTTGCAGCTCAAGACAAGACTTAGAATTAGACAATGATTCTTGAACATAAATCTTCATGGTTCTCTGGCTTCTTAGACTTTATATTATTACAAATGTCATCTGAGTACAATCCCATAAGAAAGAATTACAAAGAGTATTGAAGTTAAATAAACACTTGGAGTCTAATAAATTAAACCATTGGATTAATTGGTTTCCAATACATGTGTTAGAAAAAATCAATCTAACATTCCGAGAGGCTCAATTTCGTCTCTACATGTATGACATTGCCTTAACATGTTAACATTGTTTTTGCAACAGTTTAAATTATACCAATGAGAGCTTATAGGTTGTGTTTGGCAACTTCAAAAAGAGATAGGCCAAGTCTAGTTTTCTTCACTGTTATAAATAGCGGTAAATAGCCCCGCAATAGCGACACTAATAACGTTAGCGGTACCTTCCCGCGACGCTATCGCCCGTTACGCTATCGCACAATAGCGGTGACATATTGCGGAATATGTCTGTTCGCAAAAGCGGCTAATAGTGTGTCATAACGGTAAATAGTGAGTGATTGTTCGAAATTTGCTTTTTGACTGCTATTTAAAAACGGTTTGAGGCTTATTTTTTAAAATTAAACTCAACTCTTGACCATTGCATTCCACCGTCTCCTGTGATTTTCAGCATACTCCCGTCAGCTCTCATATCCTCTGGCACCTACCTTGATACTTCCTCTCACCTCCTTCACCGTGAGCTCCTCTTAGGGCAGTCCTGTCACCGCTAAGCTTTTCTTCTCGAAGACGACGATTTTTTGACTCCTCCAGTCATCTTCGGTATTACGTGATGGTTACATGTCTATTTTATGTTTATGATCTCTTTAAATCATCCAATATGTACTTTTAAATTTTTTTTAGATTTTTCTTTAATTTTTTTAGTATTTATACATATCTAAATTAGACCGCTATTTGACTTTGCGCTTTTTACCGCTATTTTACCGCAATTGTCCGAAATAGCCTTAGCGATGCCTCACCGCTACGCGACGCCATCCGCTATCGATAACCTTGGCTTTTCTTATAACTAGGCAGTAGAGGGTGGTTCAAAAAAGAACTAGTTTAAAGCCTAAATTTTGAACTAAAGAATACTAGTTCAACTTTGGACCATTGTTACCAAAATAAAAACTAACATCTGGACCAAAGTTGCACCCACTAAAATTAGTTTTGTGGAGTTGCCAAAGATACCAAGATCAAGCTATTTATATACTTCAATCATAACATTCAGTTGTGTCAATACCTCTGACAAAATTACACTATTTTAGAAATTACAACTGGCCTAAGTGATCATGCTAATTGTCTAATTCAATCACAACATTCAATTGTATTGATACTTCTTAGACAGTTGATAAATTCCACTAAATCAAAAAATTAAAATTAAAATTTACAATTTACCTCCCCGACGCCAATGCGAAACGTGAGTGGCTTCCCCCTCCCATAGCTACTGTCAAACACCTTCCCATTCTCCAATCTCCCCACATAATGAGCCTACACAAACATGCAACAAGTACAAACAAAAAATATAAAACAAGAGTTACAAAGGGGGTTCAAATGCACCAAAAAAAAGAAAGAAAAAAAAGAAAAAAGAAAACCTTAATAAGCTGCCCCTTTGCAGCCTCAGGCCCATACCCCACAACTTGATCACAATAAGCAAGCCCAGAGGGGGCAACAACAAGAGAGCACTCAGAAGCAAGAGATGGGTTTGGGAGAAGAGAAGCAACGAGGAGGCTTGCAAGAGATAAGGTGGCTTCTCTCCTGCAAATGGGGAGGTGGGTTTTATTTGTAATTGTTGAAAGTTTGGGGGTGGGGGAGGGATGCAACTTTGGTATTGTTGTGGGTTTTGGGGAGAGTTTTGTTTGGTGGAGGACGGTGGGGAGTGGTGGTAAGTGGAGAGAGGAAGAGGAGCTCATGATTTGTTTGTGCCTGTGTTTTTCGCGATAAGCTCTCAGGGGTAGTTTTGAATGCTGAAATGGGCCTGTTATGTTTTGGTCCAGTTAAATCCTCGGCTTGTGATTTCTTACCCCCAAACAGCCCATTTAGATGCTGATGTTTGTTAGAGCTATTTATTTATCATTTAGCAATTATGGATGTGATTTTTTGGAGCAAAACCCTAGGATTTCTTTTCACAATCATATCATATCATACTTCCCTTTAAAAGCACGAGTTCGGAAAATCTTTTTTAGACAAATATACCCCTTTATAGTTTGAACTACCTTATCTATAATCAAATTCTAATTTTCAAAGGTCAATATTACCCTTCACTATTTTGAATATTTTATTTATATCTTAATCTATTCTAATCATAATCATATCTTATCATAATCCTATGTGAACCATGTTTAGCTTAACAATTTAAAAAACTAAAATATTAATAAAATATATAAAACATAAAAATGATATTAGTTTGTTAAGATAAAGAAATTACAAGTAGATAACATATTATAATACATGAAGTATTGTAAAAAAACCATAAAAAATTTTAAAATTACAGAAAAGACCCTGAAAAGTTTAAAATTATAAAACTCATCCAAATGTCTCAAAACTTAAAATAAAAAACATGAAATTAAAAAATTAACATCAGTTTGCAAAGAATTTAAAATTTACAGTTAACACCTCAATGTCTCAAAAATTATAGAAACACCCTCAAAAGTTTAAATTACAGACAAGCACATTAAAATTCTAAAATTTTAAAACTTACAAACAACACAGATGAATTCAAGAGATTACCATGATACACCTAAAATTTTTGACATTTAAATTTAAATTTTTTAATTAACACCCTCAATATCTCAAAAATTATAGAAACACATTCAAAAGTTCAAATTATAAAAAGTCACCCTAAAATTCTAAAATTTGTAAATAAAATAAGATGAATTCAAGATATTACCCTTAGACACCTAAAAAATTAAAATTTGCCAAAATTAATCTCAAAAATTTTAAAAAACTCCTTCAAAATTTAAAAATCGTAAAAAAAACTCTAAATTTTCAAAATTTTTAACTAGCACACATCAAATTCGTCGATTGGTAGACCGCTGAAATTTAATATTTTTCAAAATTAATCTATAGTTTTAATAATTACAAAAGACACCCTCAAAATTTTAGAGTTACAAGAAATATACTAACATTTAAAAAATTACCACCAACACATGAAACATAGAATTTACAACTACCAAACTTAAAAGTAATTTTTTTAAAAAAATCTTTCAAAATTTTAAAAATTACAAATCACACCCTCAAATTCAAAACCACAAAAATGGGCTAAAATTTTAAAACTTGGCAAAGAAAAGTGTAATTGTTTGGTATTTTTCATATATATATATATATTAAAATTTCTAATTTAGGGATTTACTATCCATTTTCAGCATCTAAGAATAGTCTAAGTTGATACTGGTAAAAAATAATAAGAAGAATTGATTAAAAACATCCGGTTAATGGATAAAATTTTTAAAAATATTATAGATTAAAAATTATCGGCACTATATAAATTAAAGTAATTTCATATAAAAGTTTTAATTTTAGTATTAAATCACGTGCATTGCACGTGTGTAAAAACTAGTACGGAAAAATTGTCAGTCTGGACATTTTATACCAACTGAAATGCTGGAGCTGTTAATTGAACTTGACTGTGCTTTGGAGAAAGTATTACATTTGAACCTAGGATTTAATGACTCCATCCTATCACTTCATCTCCTCAGTTAAAGATTTGTGGGCTATTCGTTTCCACAGGGTACTTCCTGTTAAGAGCAACTCCAATGGGGCTGCAAAACTCCATTTTGCAGCCCCATGGAGCTCCAACCGGACTCCAATTTTTGGAGTCCGGCTGTATTCCCCCTAAAAAATAACAATAATACCCTTCTAACTAACTAATTATTTTTAGATATTCAACTTAAAATCAACATAAGTTTATTTCTACTAATTATTTTTAAATAAAAATTTTACAGTTGGAAATGTTTTGTCGATACCTTCAAAATGAGACTAATATTGAATAATATTAATTGAAATATAAAATTTCAAGAACCAAGTAATTAAAAATGAAAAAGTCATTATTTCATTAGTAAAAAAAGTTACATAGCTTCATTTCCATGTCTTTCCCACAAATGTTCAATCAATGCATTTCGAAGTGCAAAATGAGCTTCTTTGTTTTTCAACCTCTTATGTCGAGCAAGAAACCGTTGGAATCGTTCAGTTTCCGTTATCTCCATATTTTCAGCATTCGGAATTGATTGTGGAGTTGAAATGACAACATCTTCTTGCTCGTCGCGTTCATCTTCGACAATCATATTGTGCATTATAATACAAGCAGTCATGATATCATGCAGAGTTCGTTTATCCCAAAAACGGGCTGGCCCCTTGATGATAGCAAATCGTGATTGGAGAACACCGAATGCCCGCTCAACATCTTTTCGACATGCTTCTTGCATCATTGCAAAATATTGTTTCTTTTTATCATCGGAATTAGAAATGGTTTGAACAAGTGTTGGCCATTTCGGATATATGCCATCGGCCAAATAATAACCGACATCATAATATTTTCCTTGAATTGTGTAATGAGCAGGAGGAGCAATACCTTGTGATAGATTGTCGAACAAATTAGACGACTGCAATACATTAATATCGTTATTGGATCCTGGTAAGCCAAAGTATGCATGCCATATCCATAGATCATATGATGCTACTGCCTCAAGAATAATGGTTGAACTTCCATGACGACCTGAGTATTGTCCTGCCCATGCTGTTGGACAATTTTTCCATTGCCAATGCATACAGTCTAGACTTCCTAACATTCCTGGAAAACCTCTTTCTTCGCCCTTTTGCAATAACCTTGCAACATCGTCGACATTGGGAGTCCTCAGATATTCATCTCCATATACTTCTACAATTGCTCTGTAAAATCTCTTTAAACATACAATTGCAGTTAACTCACCGATCCTAACATATTCGTCAGTACTATCTGTTGATGTTCCATACGCCAACATGCGAAATGCCGATGTAACTTTTTGTAAAGTTGATAGACCAAGTTTGCCGACACCATCCATCTTCTATACGAAGAAGTTGTCATGATCACGTACCGCCTCAACTATACGAAGGAATAAACTCATGTGCATCTGAAACCTTCTACGGAATAGGTTTGCACCATATGTAGGGTTATCAGAAAAATAGTCATGGTATAGTCGAGAATTACCTTCTTCCCTCCCGCGATTGATCACCAAATGACCAGGAACTGAGCCAATACGCTTTGGCCGCTCTGCCTCTTGAGAGAGATAAGTCATTATTTTACTATTAGAGGCATGTACGCGAGCTAAGAGTTCATCTTCCTTCTACCATTGTGTCATATCTTCCTCCCAATCTTTAATGTACTGAGACCATATTTCGTCGTCAGAAGAAGAAGAAGAAGGTAGATGTGACGGTCCGGCTCCATAGTTCATTGATGAAGAAGTTATTTATAGAAATAATCATATAAGTTGTGAGTTATTTAGAGATGGATGTAATGTCATTATATAATATGACTCCCCGCATTGGATTCTTTTCAGCATTGGCTTCTCACCCCCATATTGGATTCCTTTTGTGTTGGAAACTCCCCACATTGGATTCTTTTCAGCATTGGCTTCTCACCCCCCACATTGGATTCCTTTCGTGTTAGAGACTCCCCACATTGGAGACTCCTCACATTGGATTCTTTTCAGCATTGGCTTCTCAGCCCCACATTGGATTCCTTTTGTGTTGGAGACTCCCCACATTGGATTCTTTTCAGCATTGGCTTCTCACCCCCTCCCCCCATTGGATTCCTTTCGTGTTGGAGACTCCCCACATTGGATTCTTTTCAGCATTGGATTCTCACCCCACATTGGATTCCTTTCGTGTTGGAGACTTCCCACATTGGATTCTTTTCAGCATTGGCTTCTCACCCCCCACATTGGATTCCTTTCGTGTTGGAGACTTCCCACATTGGATTCTTTTCAGCATTGGCTTCTCACCCCCGCATTGGATTCCTTTTGTGTTGGAGACTCCCCACATTGGATTCTTTTCAACATTGGCTTCTCACCCTCCCATTGGATTCCTTTCGTGTTGGAGACTCCCCACATTGGATTCTTTTCAGCATTGGTTTCTCACCCCCACATTGGATTCCTTTTGTGTTGGAGACTCCCCACATTGGATTCTCCTGGTGTTGGAGACTCCCCACATCTGATCCCTATATAATACTTGCACAATTTTCATATCTCCACCACAACTCTTCTTATTCTATATTCATAACTCTTTACATTCCTCCTTAGATTATGGCATCTAGTCGCGGAAAATCTTTTTTACAAGAAGAAGACCAAGTTTTATGCTCCACGTGGCTTGAAATTTCTCAAGATCCAGTCATGGGTTCTAATCAAAAGAAGGACAAGCTGTGGGAACGAATTTCTGCTTTATTTCATGAAAGGATTTCCAATATTTGTAATGCTCAAAGGACTCCAAAGTCTCTTTCATGCCGAATGCAATTAATTATGAAGGCCATCAGTAAATTTCGAGGATGTATTCGACAAGTCGAGCGCTTAAATCCAAGCGGTGCTTCTGAGCTTGACATTGTAAGTATTTTGAATAACATAAATCTTGATTATCATCTACTATCATGTTATTAATAAATGTTTCTTCCTCTCTTGTGGTAGATTAAACGTGCTAGGATAATATTTGCAGAAGATCCAGAAGAGAGAAAGGGGTTTCTATTTGATCATGTTTGGTCAATTTTAAAAGATGCAGAGAAATGGGCAAATATAAGTGTCAGATCGCCTGCAACTTCCAAAACTTCAAAGTCCCGCTCATCTCAGGGATCAGATTCAAGTTCTCCTGTCATCGACTTAAATGACGATAATGAGGAATATACTCATAATGACGAAGATATGATAACAAGTCGACCGACAGGAAGAAAGAAAGAGAAGATGACGAGGCGACAAGCATCTGAATCCAA